ACAGCCCCCGGATCGCCAGCAGGTCACAGAAACACAGTGAAGATTGCTGGATAGAAGATCTAATAATGACGACACATTGCAGATAATGGCTGCGTATCAAACCACTGTTATATTAAGACCATCAAAACTACCAAGTTGCCCAAGTGGTACTACATCACTGACGGGACAGTCATCTACTGCTGCCATCAACCAGTTCACAACTCATCTGCTTGAACTTACCTTTTAGCTGTGTCATGGTTTCAGCTGGGATAAAGTTAACTTTCTTCCTAGCAGCTGGTATAGTGCTGTGTTTTGGATTTAGTATGAGAATAATGTTGATAACACACTGATGTTTTAGTTGTTGCTAAGTAGTGTTTATACTAAATCAAGGACTTTTTCAGCTTCCCCTGCTCTGCCAGGTGCACAAGAAGCTGGGAGGGGGCACAGCCAGGACAGCTGACCCAGACTGGCCAAAGGGGCTATTCCATACTGTATGACATCATGCCCAGTATATAAACTGGGGGAAGAAGGAAGGGGGGGACGTTCGGAGTGATAGCGTTTGTCTTCCCAAGTAACCGTATGATATGATGGAGCCCTGCTTTCCTGGGGATGGCTGCACACCTGCCTGCCGGTGGGAAGCAGTGAATGAATTCCTTGCTTTGCTTTGCTTGCGTGCACGGCTTTTGCTTTGCCTATTAAACTGTTCTTATCTCAACCCATGAGTTTTCTCACTTTTACTTTTCCAGTTCTCTCCCCCATCCCACCGGGGGGGAGTGGGCAAGTGGCTGTGTGGTGCTTAGTGGCCGGCTGGGGTTAAACCATGACCACCTGTCAGTAGTGTTTCTCAGCCAAGTGGTTTAGGCATGCTGTCTTACCTGACAGGCTGCATTTGCAGAGCCTACACTCTGTAAAATAGGTATTCAGCAAATTTCAACTAATGTGGTCAACCTTACTGTGACTTCTAGATGTGTATAATGAAAACTGAACAAATATATTACTATCTAATATGTATTTCAACAAAGCCTGTAAAGAAGAGGCAAACTTTTCTGCTGTACAAAGTATTTACAAAAGAATACAACTTCAAAAAAAACAGTTTATTTTACTGCCCAAATTATTAAACACTAAACAAGACAACCTTGCAGTTTACACATTAGGAATGTAAGTTTTCATGTACAATTAAGAGAACACCTCACTGTAAAAAAGGTGAAATACTGCGTTACTACAACACAGAACGGTGTCACACAACGAACAGAAGAATATGAGAAAGTGTGGCACACTCATTTAAACTCGGGTTCTCAGGTGAAGGCAGACATCTATAAACTGATGCAGCTATTTCACAGACTTTGGTGAATATTAAGAAATGTACACATCTAGGCTTAGAAGTAGAATTATACAAATACAAAAGGCAATATATTGCACACCTATATACAGCACTGTAAGCCTCAAACACTGACAAAAGATATCAGACATAATAATTAAGTTACAAATTTCTAGAATCCTCATAGAAATCAGAAAAGACCTCATTAGAGAGAAGCGTGGTTAAAATAGCTGTATATTTCTGTACCTGTCAAATCTGTCAGGTATTCAAGGCAATTCAAGGACATTTCACTCCCTTCAGAAAAGTCACTGCAGCTCTACAGCAAGTGGTTAGAGGCAATACGCTTTTTGCACCAACGTTACAGATTCTCACAACAAAAATAATTATTCTCAGCTTCAACAGAGTTTCTAAAGTGTTGCTGTTCAAAGCCGTCATTGGAAACATTGATTTAAAACAGTAAGGTCAGTTATAAACGTCAGCATTAAAACAACTTATAATTTGAGATGATTCACTTCTACATAACATTTTTCCTGCAGAATGTTGCAGCCGGGTACGGTGTTTGCAGTGTATATATCAGAACTACCCACTCCCGGGCAGACTACAATATGGGATGTCGTAATAGGTTTTCCTTACACTGTTAGAAGACCTCTACTTCTTCAATATACATTTTCCATTCATCAGTCTAAAGTGATCAGATAATGCTCAAAACCCAAGAGCTTGATAATTTTAGAAATACCATGAAAGAATGAATATATTTGCTTCCTGCCCTACTCCCCCCGCTTCCTTCTCCTCGCCACCCCTCCTCAATACTCCAAAATCCATGGATATTGGACAACAAATAATTCTACCCTCCCTTTCCCCTATCCTGTTTGTTGTTTTTTTTTTTCCTTTTCCATTTTTTCAGAAAAGAAAGAAGCACAATTGAAAGTTTTATTATTCATATCAGGAAAGAAATTATTTAGACTTGATCAGTATCAAGGTGTGATGTCAGTTCACAAAAACATGCTCATTGCGTAAGTTGCTCAGGAGACCAATACATACATATTTATAGGAAGCCACTTATGTATAGAAACCTTTAGTACCAAGAACCTTTCCTTTTATCATTTTCTCAAAAAAGTATGAAGCTTTATGTAATTTCAGTTGTACCAATATGAGCCTATGTCTTGGGTTTAAGCCAGACCGCAGTTAGAATAATTAGCTGGATAAAATAAAAGGATAAACTAACTTCACTTTACCACTGTTTGACTTGTAGCCAACAGTATTGTAAACATTATGTTACATATCTACATTTTATGGCATTTTAGATCCTTCAAAATTCTAATTATTTATAGCTAAAGTGACTAAATCTTGTCAGTATAATAAACATCTTTTATACCAACACCCAGCTTGAAAGAGTCTCTACTGTGGAGATAACAATCATGAACTAAATGAAACAAAACAAAACCAGTAGAACAACTTAAAAATTCTAGTCCCTTAACACTAACTCACAACTAATACCATCACAACAAACATTTGTCAATTGCAATTTTATTTATCTACTCTAGTTTATGTTTCAATTTAAATTACTGTAAAGTGTTTCCAAAGTACCCTTAAATGCTACACTGCAAGAGCAGATCAGGAGGCAGCTCTAAGTTCTGCAGGTTATTTCTTTGTGACATCTAGAACAAATTTCAAGGAGGGGAAGAGCTCTGCATTCGGTACATGTAATGCTAGCCAATGTCTGCTGTTAGCAGCCCAAAACCCTGCTATTGCTTGTGGTTATGCATGCTCCAGCAGCCACATGCATTACTCAGTCTGAAACAAATGTGCCGTCTAATGTGTATTGCAGAAAAACTTGTAAAAAAAAGAGGCAAAATTTTCTGCTGTACAAAGTATTTACAAAAACATACAACTTCAAGGAACCAGTTTATTTCACTGGCCAAAGTATTAAACACTAAACAGGACAAACTTGTAGTTTATACATTAGGAATGTAAGTTTTCATGTACAATTAAGAAAACACTTCATTCTAAAAAAGGTGAAACACTGCATTACTAGAATAGAACACTGTCACACAACAAACTGAAGAATGAGGTGTGGCACATACAGTTAAACTCAGGCTCTCAGGTGAAGACAACCATCTATAGACAGATGCAGCTATTCCACAGACTTTGGTGAAGATTAAGAAACGTACACATCTAGTCTGCAGTCTTAGAATTCTACAACTTGCTTGTCCCTATCAACTATATCTCCTCATCTCGTCATTAATTAACCAGCTTATTAATTGCTGCAAACCTGAATAACATTAGCTGCTTAAAAGTTACTTGTGCTTCTGTTTCAGTCAAAAAGGGATATCTAAACTTATCTCCAGGCAAATAGGAAAGTCTACCAGAATTTTAGTGTTTGCTTTGTTACAAGGTTCTTGACAATGAGGGATCACTAGCTGCAGAAATGTGGACAGTTGGGAATGACTATGCCTTAGATTAGATCTTCATCCTGTTTCTCCACTCATAATAATATATTATCTGTTTATCAGCTAATCACTGCTACTGGAGTGGTTTTGTCAGCTATTGCTTCTCCAAATTTCTGCATAAGAAGTTATAATGTCCATTTTTAATTAAAATCTAAACGTTATAAAAGTTGGTAACAAACAAGGTCACCAAACTAACTGGAGGTTAAAGGTTAGGTAACCTTGAACAGGCTGCTGTTTTAGAATTTCAAACTAGAAAAATAATAGACATAAAAAACTAGGAATTACAGTGCTAGTTATATTTACATTATAATTTCCCTTTGTGCTTGCAAGTTACTGAAAGTACACATCCTTTGGTAGTATTCTCAGTCTCAAGTAAGAAGTTCATGTTAAACACATTCACACTCCTGATTTGCTTGAGTCAGTGCAAAGGGCTCATACCTTATTTCCTACCTCACATTGTTACATCAGCACATCTCTTCCCCATAAATAAAAAAAATACTGATGACGGCGACTTTTCAATGAGTAGGTTTGTGCCTGATATTTAAGAATCTGAAAGACAGTCCGTCACACAATTTGCAAGTCGAAAGAGTGACTACTATGGCAACTGAGAAGAACGCCCATCCACAAGTACTGCTGCCGTATGACTTGTGGCCTAGTTTCAAAGACGTACAGAAAAACCAAAATGCATCTATAATTCAGACTCATATAGCATAAAGAAGTATGAACATTGCAACATGTACTAACTACCATTACAAAAACCGCCATAACATCAAACACTGAACTGATGTTTCTAGGTTTAACCTTACACGTAAGCACAGCTTTCTCATGTCTAACATAAGAGAATGTTTGTTCTTACAATGCCGTTCCAATGTTTCATGCCCATAATGCAAGACTCCTCTTAAATAAAATAAGTACTGGCAGTTTTGCCCACGCCAAGTGGTAGTGAAAAAGTAGAATCTGGGAAAGAGGCTCCACTTGTTCCCATACTGTGCATTTGTAAAAAACCACACATCTTGGTCAGTAGCTACACAACCAATCAATGCTTATTAAATTGGTGAAGTTATAAACTTCACATGGAGCCATAACCAATCAGGTGTATAAATACATTAAGTCAAAGAGGAACCTTCCAAGCTATTAGAAGTTGACACAAAATAATTACAACTGTTGTCTATTCACTAGTGCTGTCAAATGTGAGCCAAATAAGAATTTACAGGCTTGAGGTTTAAGAAAGTAATGTATAGCATATTAAGGAGCTGTACCAATAACAGCATAAACCCTCAATATTTTACTTTTCATACTTGCCAATTTAATATCAATCTGTTGACAAAGTTATGCTAATACTAGGAGGTCGCTGCTGATTAGGTTGTTTGCTTAAAATCGGAAGATCTGTTCTTTCTGTTCCATATATCAGTTTTTCTTCCTGAAGACTGCAAGCTGAAAACCTGTTTGCCTCTGTGCCAGATACACCACCACGATTATTTGGAACTGTGACACCACTGACCTGTTCAAAGGATTTACTAAACACAGTAGTGGTCGTTCTGGCCAGACTATGGCTGCCAGGCTTAGGCAGGGACTGGCTAGTTGTCAATGTCAGTCTCTTCAGAGAGACAAGCTCTAGATTCTCACTCATGGCTCTCTGAGTTTGTTTTCGTGACAAGTGTTCTCTGCAGGTTTCTCCTTCTTTTTCTTTTCCTCCAGCTTTGCTTCCTCCAGACCTTCGTTGGCTCTTCCCTAAAACGTTCTTACTGCTCGTGTTGCTGCTGTTAGATAGGGCAGACTGACTTGTACTAGAAGCAGCCCTAGAGTAAAACCCTTCATCAGTTTCAGATACTTCTATCAGTTCTTCTTGAATTGCTAAATCGGCATTACCTGCATGGTAGAAAAAGAAATAAAGAATTAGCAATTGACTTTCACACATTTATTGATTTTATGTATTGCTAAATTTTGATATTTACAAGCATGAAGCCATACAACAGAACAGAGAACAGAAGACAAAACACTTACCTATTCCATTACATTTTGGAATTAAGGTTCATTAGGATATAAAGTTACAGCAAATAATGCTGCATTAACTAGATCAAAAAGCATGCCCACAATCTCATTTTGTAGTGATTTTGAAAAAAAAAAAAATGCAGTCTTGTTAATTCATGCAGGAGATTAGAAACTTACAGATTAGAAGATACCACACAGAACAAAAAAGTGTAAATCTTATTTTGAGCCAGCGCTCCAATACATGATTTTGCAAAGCTCATTAATTATAAAGGTATGTGATCAATGCCCCAGGACACCCAATATGGCACCTGCACGTTTAGCAACCCAAGAATGCTTTAGGACTGAAAGGTCACCTTCTGCATCATAGGTCTGGTGGTATGAGTTGGAAACTCAAGCACAACATGAGATCTCCAGTATACCGTGAAAGGCGGAACTTGGGAAATCTGAGGTACACAGCGAGATACTTTTTTACATCCATTTTGATGGATTCTTTATACCATTGATCACCAGATTTTGTAAACCCAACAAATATGCTCAATAAACTCAAAGGTACGTTGAGTCTCACAGTGTATTTTCTCCAGATTAAATAAATCTCCTTGTAAGTATGTCGTCATTGTCTGTGGCACAGACGAAGCTGTGTGCAACACATGCATTTGTGTTATTACACATGCAAATATATTAACTGCATACTTTAATTCTCCAAACATGCAGCAGTGACCCTTTCAATCAACAGTGGTACCTTAGAGTGCAGCTACAAGTGCTCTGCTAAAACTGCACTCTGCCAGATGAGTTTATTCCATCCTCCATCATTTTTCTTACAGATTTTTGCCTCCTGATTTCTGGCATGCCTTTGCTGTCAGTTCTAGGATCTGTAGCTGTTTCCTGTACTCCCTGTAAATGCTGAACATCATTCTCTGCTAGTGCTCTGCTCTTTTCCCCATTCCCGGTCCTCTCTCCAGCCACACTTGTGACACTAATCTCAGGTATGACAAAGTTGCCCAATTCAGTAGCATCATTACCATTCTCTGGTTGTTCTAGAATTGAAGATGGATAAGAAAAAAACAAAACAAAAGATGTCTGAAACAAAACATGAAACAAAAGCCAATAGATACAGATGACAAGCATTATGAATTAAAGCAGATGTTCACATATTAACCTCTTGTTAATTAGCAACATTGGCGAGTATGGAGTTTTGCTTTATTTCTAAATTGCAGGCTTCAATCTTCCAATTATTGGCCTGCACCCACATACTGGAAAGCCCCATGCTTGATCTTTCAAAATTGAAACTTCTGAGGATCATGAAGCAAACATTCAGAGATTTTCAGAAATCAAAGAACTCTCCATAATTCACTTTTATGACTATATTCTTTGTATCACCATGCTAAAGTGAAACTTACTTTTACAATGAAATGGCATATCAACATCCCGTGTTATCATGTAAGACTAGAAGTTCTACACATACAACATCATGGTGCTGCACAGTGGTCAGCCTGAAAACTAACAGTGAAACAACTAAGCCAACTCAAGCACACTGACTTCCATTTTCTTCATTTCAAAAAACTATTTTCAAGCAGGAAGATATTTACAAGTAGGAAAATTCTCCAGTTACTAAAATCAACTTATTCAGACGAAACCTATGGAGTTTTACTGCAGTTTTTGCCACCTACTAATAATATAACATAAATGTTGATCTCCTCAGCCTTTTTAAGCTGCTTGTATGTGCTTACAACTAAATTAGTTTGCAATAAACTTATTTGTGTCACACAAGTACAGTTGAGAAAACAGGGATGATTAAGCTCGGGGGAGGGAAAGCACCAAAACTTTCTGCAGAACTGGAAACAAAGAAAGAAATTAAGGCAAAAACCAATGCAGCTTGGTTCTAAGATTACCTCTTTTCATGTGGGTAAGTCATCAACAGCAGATATACAAATGCTCAGCCTGGCCAAAAAATTATTTCAAGACAGCCAAAGATTCCTGCAGACATAGCCAAAAATCCCCAAGCAAACAGAAAACTCCACTGCTACTCAAAGTGTGAGAATGATGGTTGTGTGTAAGCACATGAGATTTAATGATATTTAGTGATAAGGATGCAATAGTTCCTACAAGGTCCTGGTAAAACAAATCCCAACTCAAAAGATGCCTGTCTGCATTAGATGAAGACAGGTTTGAGAGGGATGAACTCTTGAGAGGGGAAAAAAGTGAAAATAAAAATGGGAGTTGAAACTTTATGGAAATTCCAATGATATGCAAGTAACAAATTACAATCCTAGCAACCTGTCGGCTCCACAGTGTCTGAAGTATTCTCAGTATCTGAAGATCTTTTTAAAAGTATTCAGAATTGCTTTATCAGCACTAGCTCTACAACCACAAAACTGCATTTAGCTCACCTGGAGAAGAAAAAAAGAGAAGCCATGAGTTACAGATAGTCACAGCACATCCTCCATGAAGATGTATACCACGGAAATACAAGTGAAGAGCAGCAAGAACTACACTAAATGCTATATAGTTATATATTCTCTATGTGCTATATATGTGTATTATATGCAAACACTACGGCCACAAACTTGACAAGACTAAAAATGCACTAAAAGCATAGCTCTGAATAAAGCTCAACTGAATCCCTGTGTTTTATTCATAACGCAGCTCTTTCAGACCGGAGGATTAAGTAAGGACCGCCCAGACTATACTGCCAGTTTGCTACTGCACGTGACAGAAGTTGGCAGTACAGACATTTAACTGACAGTATGAAGTCCAAAACGAGAGGAATTTATGAGGAGATGATTTTTCATAGCAGCAGCTCTGATGCTTTTTAGCTGGAGGGGATCCTCTCTTCCCCCCGTCCCCGCACTGAGGACTCTTGTGCGGGCACAGTGTACTTCTAGGTCAAGCAGGCTACAGCGCTGGGCTTTTCACTAGTGTTTGTGCCGCCTGCACTTTTCACGGCAATGAAATAAGCCTCAAGGCTACAAGGTTATTCTGGCAGGGATGGACATCATTGTCCCCTGATGTAAGAGCTATCCCTGATTTTAACTGCAAATGCCAAGTATCATGATTCTTTCTAACTAGTCAACAAGCTGTACTATCCAAAGGAAATGTCATTAATAATTGCTGCTATTAGCCACTACCTTCCTGATATTTGGCAGGAAACAAGCTAGAACTGTTTCCAAGTATTACCCCTTCTAACAGCATTTTCTGCAGAAGTCTTCTAATGTCAGTAACAAAGGTAACAACTAAGCACCAGGAACTGCAATAGTAATAATAAATAAATAATAACAGTAATTATATAATAGTAATAATAATAATACCACCATCAAATATAGCCTTTTTTCTAAAAACATAGGAGCAGAAAGTTTAGTGAGGAGAGATCAACGCTCTGATTGGCCTCATTGGTCTAATTTTACTCGTGTGAGGTACCTGTGCCTCTCCTATGGCAATCTTCAAACTCCTTCCTGCTACCCTGGCAGTGCAGCTACAGGCACCTGATTTCCACAGAACTTCCCAGGATCCACTGATCTCCGTATGCACAAGTCGGTTCTGCTAGAAACTTCATTTAGACCCAGGACACCAGAGAGGAGAGGGCGGAACAGAGCTCACTGTCAGTCCCTTCCCCACCAAGGGCAGAGAAGCACGAATTAACAGCATCCAGTTTCAAAGAGAGGAGACTCAGAGTGCATGGCAGAAATCAGAGGAACAGAGGAAGAATTTTTTTGTTACAGATTTTGTATAATAGTGATACTTATTGTTGTTTGATGGTGTGCATTTCTGAACGTAATATCGTACTGTGATATCAGCACTTTATCCATCACTGCTGCATTCCCGCAGCTGTGTAACCATTACCCACAATGAACTGGGGAAAAAAAAAACAAAAAAAGAGTTTTACTGAGCACAATTATGTCTAATCTTTTAGTTAAGTCCTATTAACTACTTCTAATGAAAGGGAAAATACCTTTCTCCGAGTTTGACATTGAAGTACAGGAGGAAATTAGTGAAAAAATGGGATACCAGGTATCTCAACTCCTGTTAACACTGTCTGCCACAGCATCTACAGTCTCATGGCAGGGATAAGACTACACAATCCACATCCTTCATAGTAGCATCCTCTCCTTATTTTAAATTTTTTAAGAACACCTAGAACAAACCTTCGGCTTCGTAGTGCTTGGTTTTGAAGATAATACTGCTTCAAGCTGGACAACTCTGGGGGTCTATCATTTGAGAAAGAGATATTAATACCCAGTGCACAAGGCAATGTAGCAAAAGAGAAAAAGAACACTGCTAAATAGTGTAGAGACAAAACTGAACAATTATGTCAGTTTGAAAGTTAATATAAATATGCCCATAGCAGTTGAAGGAAAATCCATTCGGAGTCACATTTCTGAATGCGTTGAGTAGTACAACCAACCTTGATAAACGCATTTCATGATTACTAGCTGCTAAGAATTAATTCAAAAGATATTTCAATCATAGTCTACCTTAATATTACGGTTGCCTACATCATTTACCTCAGATTGCACAGGCAAATTGCCCATTTGGATTGTAAATCAATTTTAACCACCACAAGCTCAAGCTGCATTTCCTGCACAGCAATGTTAGCATTTTGAGTTATTCACAAAAGCATCAAGCTTATATCCCAAAATTAACATTCATTCCAGATTTCTTAAAAAAAAAAAAGTTATAGCTATTTCAGGAATTAATAGTGTTTCAAAAAAAGTAAGAAAATTCTCTCCACAGAGATTCAAAGACTAATGCTTCTAAAACTTGTGTACTACATCAAAGTCAATTTCTGCAATGGGGAAAAAAAAACCATCTTGTCCTTCTCTAGCTGATGTCGTTGGTTTTGTGTTATGTATCTTACCAACATCTGCTTAGCTCTTCTTACTCAGTCTGTTACATCAGGGTATTTCTCTTTATGCATTGCTTCTACACACAGGAATTTTTCCCCGAGCAACCCTTTCATGGGGCAGTTTGGCAGATTTTACATTAGTAAGGAAAACATTGCTAGGGCTTGCTTTGGTTTTTTCCTAGCTTCCATAAATAACCATTCATTTAGGTGTTTGTGTCTCTTACACACTGCATGATTTTTCTGGTTTTCCTCTATTTGTGAATGGAAATGGAGATGCCACTCAACACTTGTTTGTTTTTAAAACATGAACACTGCAAAAAACTAATGCTAGGAAAGAGGAGCTAATGCTCCTCTTTTTTAAGCTTTATGATTTATAGGCAATCCAATTCAATAGCACTACATAATTTGTTGATAAGTGGTGGCTAGTATCAACTGACTCTATAAACACTATCCACTTGTGATTAGATGGATACATTTTGCAAATGACCTTCATCTTTAGCACCTCTAGAGCACCTACCTTAGAAGTCTAAGTTCACAATATCAATTTGATTTTTAAAAAAGTGCTTCTAAGTAACAGCTCTAATGAACAAGTTACAGGGTTGAGTATCACAAGATCAAATGTTAAGTCGACCTTTTTTCAAAACTGACTTCAATCTAGAGTTCTAGCAAAGGCTGGCCAGATCTAATGTCTGAAAACTTTTATAGTAAACTGATTTTTAACGTGATTGGCTGTAATTCTTTTATTTTATTTATTTTACACAAATAGCTACTGATTGAAAATTGCTGCCCTTGCTTCCCCAAGGGATACTTTGCTTCATCACGTCTTCTGGTCCACATAATGTATAAGATCAAACTACCTCTCAGCTGTCTCCTCTAGCTTCCTAATCCATTTGTACAACTCATTTTTATTATACTGAAGCACAAAAATAAAACCCCCAAATAAACTTTTTTCCCCTTACACCGTGGGAGAAAGAATAATCATCAGGAGATACAAGGTTTGTCATCTGATTTCTACTAATTCCAGTATTTATTTTAATTCAAACAAAGCATCTGTAAGCACAAGCTTTGTTATTCTTTCTGCATGCTGACCCTGAAGATCTATTCCATATCTATCTTTATCAGAAATTTTGGGGCACTGACTTATGTTATTAGAAATTTTGAAATCAGAAGACCATCCACTCTGACTTCAAAAAGGCTTTTCAAGTCACAAACAACAATTTTGTTAGCATTTTATAATGAAAATTTTGAGGAGACTACCTGAAGTGGTATATGCATGGAACGTTTACCATTTAAAACAAAACAATTGGATGGTCAGTTAGTCAAAGATACCACAAACTCAGTTTTGGCCTCTAAATTAGATTAATGTTTACATAGCCTTCAAATTTACAACTGCTCCCACAACCTGCTATGCAAGTTCCCCTGCACCCCTGCCCTCTTCTTTCTTCCTCTTCATTAAATCCTGTACCATTGAGGCAAATCCAAAGTTTTCTCAATAACCCAAACAAAATGTTGAGAGGAACTTTTTTGTAAAAGTCCTTCATCTTTCAATCCTCCTCCCTAAACACTGACTGCTCGTCACTTGGGTCATACTAACTAGATCATCACTGTTTCTCTCTTCTCGTCCTGCTTTGAGATTCCCATAAAACACAGCACTCCTCCCCATTTCTATGAGTCCTAGTATTACTCTCATTTCCCTTTCACCTTACTGTTACCTGCTGCAGGGCACACTTGTCCCACCCATTTTTCCTTGAACTTCACCAAGCATCACCTTCTGCAAGAAGGCAATAATTGTAAAAACTTTTAGATTTCTGTATTTGCTGAAAAATTTTCATTCTTATAAAGATGGTTCCAATACTGATTCTGTAACATTTTTATTTCATTTTTTCTGCAAAGACAAAAGGAATGTTTATTTTAATACACTTGCAATTCCTCTGAATGAACTAGCACGCAGTATCCCTGATCCGTGTTCCCCTCCACCACCTCATTTGAACAAGCATCAGAACCACTCAAAAATAATAGCTGACAAAATTGCCAAGCTTCAGAGGGCATTTGTCCATTTAAAAGCCGAGCTATCATACAGTTTTCTTGCACTTGGTCAATAATCCCTGCTTAACAACTGTAAGCCTGAAGAAAGGAAAATAAATAATAAAGACTAAAATAGTCCTTAGCAGTCTTGAGACTTCAGTAATAACTTGCCACTGGACCTCACTCAAGTTAAAGACACTAATGTTTTTCTCCTCAGCTTTGTCTGACAGTTTTAAGCAGTTTTTAATCAATTGAAGTTTGGTTATTTTACCTTTCTTTGCTCCTCACCCCCTCTGGCAGCTTACTATTGGTACTACTACCACCAATGTGTACCATTACTGCTCAGAAAGCTCCATCATTATTTGAAAGTCATCTTCTACCAGCACATTTACAAATAATTTTCTCAACACTTACCTGAATTACCTCTCGCTCCTTTACAAGTAACTTGGCAATATTTTTCTAACCAAACCGTCCGTATACTACAAAAGCTCATACAGTACACATCATACAGAAATTTTTATGATACTACTTCAAAATCTTTATTGAGCCTATTATAAGAGCATTCTTGTCTGCACTCACTCACTTAGCCTGTCATCAGAATTACAAGCCCAGCAGAACAAGCCATTGCCAATTTTGATCACCGGTCCAGCAGCTCTTTCCTCATCTGAAGACAGTAGAAGAAGTGGAACATAATGTTTCTCCTTTCGCAGTACATTCAGCACTATTTTTTCTACTTCTCAGTCCAGACCTGTGTTCTACTTTGTGGACGCCCTTATATTAGTTTGCCCAAATGTGCTGGTTTTGGCTGGGGTAGAGTTAAATTTTCTTCCTATAGCTAGTATGGGGCTATGTTTTGGATTTGTGCTGGAAACAGTGTTGATAACACAGAGATGTTTTCATTATTGCTGAGCAGTGCTTACACAGAGTCAAGGCCTTTTCTGCTTCTCACACCACCCCACCAGCGAGTAGGCTGGGGATACACAAGAAGCTGGGAGGGGACACAGCTGGGACAGCTGACCCCAACTGACCAAAGGGCTATCCCATGGGGGCTGTTTGGAGTGATGGCGTTTGTCTTCCCAAGTAACCGTTATGCATGATGGAGCCCTGCTTTCCTGGAGATGGCTGCACACCTGCCTGCCAATGGGAAGCAGTGAATGAATTCCTTGTTTTGCCTTGCTTACATGTGCAGCTTTTGCTTTACCTATTAAACTGTCTTTATCTCAATCCACAAGTTTTCTCAATTTTACTCTTCTGATTCTCAACCCCATCCCACTGCGGGGAGTAAGCGGCTGTGTTGTGCTTAGTTACTGGCCAGGGTTAAACCACGACACCAAAACATAGTAATTTATCGCTCTACCCTTAAATCCGATCTTTGTTTAAGTAGCATCAAACAGATGAGATTCTGCAGCAAAGCTGTTAAATATTTGCTTTGCTTCAGGTACTATACATTACTTTCCAGAAGAAAACAGGAACATCAGCCTCTTTAAAGAATCAATAACTTTGAATAGCTCCCTTTAACAAAAGGGTTTGGGTTTGGTTTTGTGGTTTGGGTTTTTTTTTGTTTTTTTGTTTTGTTTTTTTAAACATGATTAAGGAAATAAAGAATATGCTTCATCTGAACTGCTTTAAGATTCCCATTCACCAGTTAAGAAAATAAAAACCCGCACTTGCTGCTTGCTTACTAGAAATGAACATGTGCAAAACCGAAGTTTTCAATAGTATTTTAAACACTTGCAAAAAGCTGAGAATTCATTGCAAAATGTGTTTCTTACCATGCCTTTTCCACCTATGCCCTCGGATAGACATGCTAGTCACAGCATTTCTTGATATTCTGGATGAAGTAGGTGTAATTTCAACCTGAATGCATCTCGTACCTTCTTTACTAGATTTCATGGCACCCTGAGGCAGTGAAGCTTTTATTGCATTAGCAACCTAGAACAAAAAAGATGCAGTTAAGTTCTTAACATGAAAATCCAAATTTTAGAAGAATTCTGTCAGGGGATTCTTATTACTCCAAGAAGAATACTGTGTACAATTCCAGTTTAAGGTCAAAAAGCACACTAGCTTTTTGCACTGGTTATAAAGGATGCTGGCTGCAATTACCTCTCAGAACTAAGTTACGTTTAATACCTGCCACTTTTTGAAACAAAGTTTCCAGTTTAAAGATGTGGCTATTACTTAACATGAACCTCAGAGTGCTTCTGCACTATCATCTAAGCTTTCAAGACTTAGAAGCATTCTACTGAAAACAGCTTGTTCACTAGGGAAGATGACAAAATAACTAAGTACATTGAAAATGCCTGTGCGTGTGTGTGTATACTTGCAGATCTAGCTATTCACACAAGCACAGCCACATAGACCTCATGGGATTTAGGTTCCTGGTGTGATGTCGCATCATGCACGTTCACAAAAAGGATTTCCTAAACTAAAAGTTCTACTCAAAAAAATGTTGAAATACAACACCTACCAGCAGAGGTTCTGGATACAGTTCCAGCTGTGCTCTATACAAAATGTCATCCATAGCTTTACGAGCCAGATCCCATTCTCCATTATAACTAAAAAGGTAAATATATACATAATAATAAGCATCTGTATCAACAGATGAACCTTCTTGGTCACATAACTTTCACAGATTTAGTATTCCTTGAGAGCTCAGTTTAGAGGAGTTGAACTACTTGTGTTCATTAGCAGTAAGCCTGCTATTTAGAGAACTTGTTCTGAAGTAGTGTCTATGGAGACAGTTTTATTTTCATTGGCCACCCTGAGCAGTTTAAAAATGACATAATTAGTTATTGATCAGCTAGTCATGAAATATTCTGAAATTCAAACAGGATTGTTTTACTATTACTCCACCTTTTAAGTATTCCTGTGTTACTAGTCTCTAATTATTTCAGTTAATAAAAGAGCTTTACACATTCACATGACTATCAAAGGGTAAATGGCATCAGCATTACAGAGAAAGAATGATAAGGCCTTTTTTTACTTAACGAGATTGATGTCAAAACTCAGCATGCAAAAATGCAGACAGTGGCTGGAAAAGTTGTTTTTTAAAAGATTTTTTTTTTTTCACATCAGCAGTTACACCTATTAAGTGCTGTTCTAGCCCTCTTTCCTCAATATGACATTGGTAACTTCATCTAAATAGTTGGACAACTATGTTCTCTTCCTGAGGACCTTATTTCTAAACACAGCATCTGTCCACTAGAAAATAAAACATTTCAAAGATAGCATGCCTAAATGAGTGTAGAAATTAAGCTGACATTTCTTTATTTTGTATGCATATTAAAAAAACCCAACTTACAAGGCATAATAAATCCCTGTTAGCATTTGCACCATGAATTCAGATGAAACTGGAATCCTACTGTTGACTCCCTTGTATTTTCTCACTTGTTGGCGAGGATATCCACAGACACAAATTCTAAAGAAATTATGCATTTTTCATTAGCAAATAGTGTAGAACCACCTTTGTATAGAACTCTGCAAAGCTAGGTGTTTAGTATACATTTTAACTACAGCAGACCCACAGGAAGCTATCCATCAACAACCCTGAGCTGAAGCAGACTATTTCTTATCATGGAAGAAGGGTATGCCCTCTACTGGCAGAGTGCAAATCCCTCGAAATAGAGACATCCTAGACACGCCTGTTACATTTACACTACAGCAGAACGTGAAAGAAAACTGCCAGTAAAAGTCATTCTGAATCCACACATTTGCCGCAGAACAGAGAAAAAAAATAAGTAAATGGTGCTTAGGGAAATAAATCAGTATAGCAACTATTGATATTCCAGGCAGAACCATAAGTGTCATTGCATATAATATGGAAGTTGCATACAAGTTTTCAAGCAAAGAGACCAGAAGTGTCACATTCATAAAACTATTCTAAAATCCAGCAAAAGTCAGCTTTAGAATTTAGTTCTGAACTAAATTTCACATCAGGTTCTGTAGTCAAAACATTCTGGAAATCAAAAGTATTGGGGAGTTAAATATTCAATTCATTGGCTATACCAGACTTCTGGAATGACCTTTAATGACATTAATCAAAGTACTTCCTTCTCCAAAGCATAGACTAGAAGGTTTAGTCTCAGAAAGCTTCAATTCTTCAGCTTCAATACCAGAGCGCTTGTAAAACTCCTCTTAAATCTGTTTTTTTTCCAGAAAAACAATAGAGTTAAGATTGTATTGGAGTACCTTTCAGATTACATCCGTAACAGAGATTTCAGGAGCCTTTTTTATTAATATTAACTTTGCCACTAACCTACTGCACTTTTTTCCTCTCCTTCTCTATCCTGCAATTCATCTTCTGCTTTGGCTACTTAAAAAAAAAACAAAAAAAACAAAAACAAAACAAAAAAAAAAATGAAAACCAAAAACCAAACAACACCCACACCAACAAAAAAGTAGACAGTGCCCCCAAGATCTCTATGGCTCAGCAGCTCTCCCAGCATGTACTTTGCACCTAGTATGATCTAAATTTGACTCTTCATGCTGATATCACCATATGTCCAAATAAAAACATCAACAAAAAAAAGATTTTAAACACTTCATCAGGAAAGACAGGAAGCCACGCTAGTGACACCATGCAAGGAAACGAAAACATTATGAGATGTTTATAAAGGAAGAATCATAGAATGGTTTGGGTTGGAAGGGACCTTTGAAGATCATCAATTTCCACCCCCCCATCACAGGCAGGGACACCTTCCACTAGACCAGGTTCCTCAAAGCCCTGTCCAACCTGATCTTGAATACTTCCAATGATGGGGCATCCACAGCTTCTCTGGGCAACCTGTGCCAGTGCCTCACCACCCTCATCGTAAAAAATTTCTTCCTTATGTCCAATCTAAATCGACCCTCTTTCAGTTTAAAACTGTTGCCCCTTGTCCTGTCACTACAGGTCTTGGTAAAAAGCCTCTCTCATCTTTCTTATAAGCCTCCCTTACATATATTGAAGGGCTGCAATAAGGTCTTCCTGGAGTCTCCTCTCCTCCAGGCTGATCGAGCCCAACTCTCTCAGCCTTTCTTAGGAGCGGTGTTCCAACGCACTGATCATTTTTGTGGCCCTCCGCTGGACCCGGAGGTCCATGAAACAGATCCATATCTTTCTTTTACTGGGGACCCCAGAACTGGATGCAGTACTCCAGCTGGGGTCTCACAAGAACCAAACAGAGGGGGAGAATCACCTTCCTCAACCTGCTGGCCACACTTTTTATGCAGTCTAGGATACAATTGGCTTTCTGGGCTGTAAGCGCATATTGCACTCTATCCCCAAGCCCTTCTCTGCAGGGCTGCTCTCACTCAATCCATTCAATCCCTCAGTCTGTACTGATATTGGGGATTGCCCCAACACAGGTGCAGGACCTTTGCACTTGGCCTTGTTGAACTTCATGAGGTTAAGATACCTATAGGTATAGGATACCTACCCTCTATGCACTCATCTGGTGTTGAAGGTAATAATTCCATAAACCCTAGGCTTGTGCTGCCACTTCATAGAGTTGGTCAACTGCTGCTCTGAGCATCAGTATTCAGTCATAATTCTCACTGAAATTTACAGCCATAAATACAAACTTCTCAGACTGGCCTAAACCAAGATTTAAGTGACTCAATTCAACAATTCAGAATCATATTTCTAAAAAAAAAAATAATTTATTTTGCTTAGTTTTGAATTTTGATTTTCAAGAGTAGCCAAACAGGTTAATTTGTAACTAACTGCAAGTTTTCCCCTAAATTCGATATTGTTGTTGGCCAGAAGCACAGGCTATTTAAGTACTCCTTGCTTATTCATTTAGATTTTAAACTCCGATTTTATTATTCTTAGGAATACATTAGGTCAGATGGCATTGTGATTTGTGTCTCACTATTGAAATGGCTTAAAACTCTAATTTTTAGAAACCAGAATGCAAATAAATTTCTATCTTAAAATACAGTATTCACCTGCAAAGTATACGCACAGCTAGCTAAAACAAAAATCTTACTTCCAGTTAAGTGAATCAAATTCACTCTTCTCTTAAATAGGCTTAAGAGGTTGGAATCAAATTAATTCATCCTCTCATATTTCTTTTTGTCCATACATGGTAAAAGTTAAAGCATGAAAACTGTTTTTCTGATTCTTACCTAGTTTTAAACCACATGAGCCAGCTACTGAAATTAACTAGGTTGAATAACTCCCCCACAAAAACCCCATCTCATTTTCCTCCTCTTTTTCTCCCAGAAGAGGCTATTATTATGCAACTTAGGCAGCACTTTAGTTCCAGATAGTCCATAATTTCTACCAATGGTTTGGCTCAAAGGTAACACTTAAAATCCACTAAAATAATGAGCATTTCAGTGTTGTGTAAAGCCTGAGGGGTGGAGGCAGCAGCAAGTGTCCAGTTTAAACAAAAATGCTAGTTTACATAAAAACATCTAACCAGGTCATTTTTATGCTGATGTATATATTTATGCACTTACTAGATGCTACCACATAGAGATACAGTAAGTATTTTTGGGCGAAAATCGTGAACTCATAGTAGGAATGTGATCAGTTAACGCTGACGGTTATATAGAAAAGAGCTTAATACAGACACTCTATTAATGACAGTATTGATTAGTTTTTAAAAGCCCTACTCTGATCTGAATTACTTCCTCTAAAAAGGCTCAAATGACATCAGCAGAACTGCTTTGCTTTATATCAGAGTAAGATAATATTCTTATGAAGAGAGACTTAGTAACTGAAGATGCCCAAATGCAAAAAATCTGGATTTACAACATTTCAGATGCACACAAAATATTTTGTGCTGCAGTTGTCACGTTTACAGTTCATGTTTGTAAATAAGAAGTACTAGAAGATTTTGCTTCTTTAGAAAAGTCATAAAAATTGAATTAGACTTACTAGAAGAAAGCACATTCATTGTAGACTGCTTTCATACAGATCTTCCAACAGAAACCTAAATTCAACACTACTCAAACCAATTAAAGGAGTTATTCTATGGATTCTTCCGAGAATTTTGTCAGCACCACATCCAATCAGGATACTGAATGATATTCTGGTCTTCTGACACATAGTCCCTTGAATCCCTAAAATGCTGTCAGGGCAAGATTTTCAGTAAGCAGAGAAACATGGATGCCAAAACCAGTAGGGAATGAAGAACTAAGATAAAAGTCAAATTGCATAGCATCAAATAATTCAGTATCCAAACATTCAACATTTTGAAGTAGAAAGACTTGCTTGCATCTACTGGTTATCTGCTTGGGTTTCTTTGGAGGCTTTTTAAAAATTATTTATCCCAAATACAATCAAAACCTAATCAAGCAGAATAAACAACATCAGACTCCTGTCCACAATCCTTAGCTTCTAGATGTTTTCTACCTTAAATTTTAGACCAGCATATCTAATAAAGATCTTGTAAAGACTCTTGTAAATATTGCCAAGTGCTCCAATGCTCTCCCACCTCCTCTGCAGAGGAGAGAATCTTACAGACATCCATTACTACGTTTTGTTTGCATGAGGAACCTGGGAACTATGACTAGTAAAAAGTTGCTGTAGTTGACTTCTAGGTCTCTCTTGGGTTTCCTGGGTTAACAAGAGCATTCTAATTTTTTCCTTAACCCAAAGTCCACTTCCAAAATCTAGAGACAGACATGTTTACCACCAGTTCTTCCTCTTTGAAAAAAGACATGGATCAAAAATAAACACCGTAATTAAAGCTGAGATGGGTTTTGGTTTTTTTGTTTTGTTTTGGGTTTTTTTGAGGTAACAGCAGATTTTGGAAATAACCAAAAGTATCTGTAAGAATTGATGTATTTCTAGTTTCAAGATCTACTATAATTTCAAGAAAGTTTCAACTTGCACAGCATCCAAATATATTTAGTAAGCTTGCAATGCAAAATTTACCAAGATTTTAAAGACATTTCTGATTTTATTTAGTTAATACACCTACAACTACTTTGATTAAAAGCAAACAGTTCCTGTGATTTGACTTCTCCACTTAACAGCACTGCATATAAGCCAGGTCATTGCTTCCACATTTTGAGATCACAACCCAAAGTTACATAAGAGATACTTTAAAAGCAAATAATGCAGCTGTAAACACTTATGAAAAAGTCAAGTTTATAAGCAGCTTTTGGGAACCCAAAGCCTTTTTTTTTTTTAAATTTCAAACTGATTGCATTTCAAGTTGAAAATGCTATTTTAAGTGTAATCAACCTACAGAAGTTACCTTGAACAAATTCGACACAACGACTGAAGAGAAACTGCAGGCATGTAGCTTAAGGCAGCGTTGTAACAGAGCAGAAGGAAAGTCAGCACTTCAAACCTGGGATTTACAAGAAACATAAGAATTACATTACCAATTTTATTTTTAAAAAGAAAACAAGTTTACATAGAAATTTGCAAGAGTTATTTGAACAGATTTGGTATTTCATTTCAATAAAATTGACAATTGAGTAGTTTGGTTCTGTAAGCTTTTCCTCTTCATGTAGTAATATGCACTGCTAGTTTTTCTGCATCTACATTTACACGTGTTAAAAAAAAAACACCACAAAACACAGCATATACCTATCCACCTTCTGCCTATAACTATATTAAAAATTACAAGAAGTTAAGATATATTAGCAATTCTCAAGCAAAATCCTATTATACAATTTCACCTGTTCTGTGCTGTTAACATCTCCCTCTGAGGATGAGGTCCACTGTATACAACCCTGGACAAACCATGCTGCGATAAAGCTCCTTCAGTGAGAGCCATGGAGCCAATGCTGGAAGGCTAAACGAAAAAGGGTCATTCAAAACATGTCTACCTGAAGTCTTGCTACAATGCAAGTGAAAATAGACAACAATCAGCATCACCATATTTGTACATAAATTTTCAACAGGCTTAAGGTTATCTGACTGCCTAGCTGTCTTAGATTTGAGAAGTTATTTTACACCAGATAGGGTATATGTCTTCAGAACAGAAAAAAAAGACATGGTTCGTGCGTGGATATTATGGAGTTACGACTATTCAGTCTTGAAGAGGCCTCAGAGACCAGTTAGCAGTACTCAGAAGACTGAGAAATATGTTCCTATGTCATCATGCAGCACGTTAAAGCTACTTTTCACTTTTATTCTTAACAAAGAGGCCCCCAAAGCATACTGCCTTTCTCGATCAGTAACAACTTCATGTTGTAGACGTCACTTACTTCATGATAGACTGAAGGTTTGGACAAAGACGGAATTGTGAAACTCAGCACTTTGCTATGTCCCTCTTTGTCAACTATCTCCTGAAAAAGACAGACGATACCAATGATTACACTGTACCAGAGAAACCAGACATTCAAAAATGTTAAATGCTAGGTAGGGGTGAACAGATAAAGCAAGCCAATAAATTATTATAGGGACAGAGAGGGATACTATAACAAATCAAAGCTATGAGCTAGAAATTATCTCTGTATTTGCTTTCTATCATAGTGCATTTGCTTTGTTTCTGAAAACTATTCAAATGACTTAGCAAAGGGCACATGCATTTGCATACATAGTCCACCTTAAAAAACTAACTGGAAATCTCAATACATTTAAACAGTGTTATCTTTTTTAATTATATAGTATTTGCTAATTGTGAAGGTTAATGCTCAATAATTCTGTTCTGAAAACTATTTACCCATCAAGTAATGACTCTACAAGTAATTTGTTTTGGAAATATTATAGCTCTGGAACAATTGCAGCTTCATATGGCTTGATAGTAGCAGACATACTATTTGCAAAAGCCCAAGTTTGATAATTCCATACTTATAAAAGGAGTTAAAAGAAGCATGAATGCAAAGCTTTAGAGAAGCTACTTTCCTGCAAGTTACCACCATAGCAGTATGTTGGCAGACTTCTCACTCCTGTAAGTTAGCGGAAGACTGATGGGCAAGGCAAAAAAAGATGTGCCTACATATCACAGACGAGCACAGAATTACTTCCAATAAAAAACTTCAGCAGTTCCAAAGCAGACCTGACCAATAACCAACACCACACATACAAGAACTTCCCCCCTCTTCCCCCCGCCAAATTTCAGCAGAATATTTCATATATCGAAAGGTAGAGATTAGAGAGCAGCTTTAGTGTCTCCTAAAACCCATGCCTTGGAAGGCTAAAGGACTGACTTCACATAGTAATTATTAAAACTCATGGTTTAAAGTAGAATATGATGTAACGGAAGACTGAGAAGCATCAAAAAGACATACAGAGCTGTTCTGTCTGAAGAGTTATACAGCTCCTCCACTCTCCACATAAACCACTGATACTTTGATTTTCAATATCCATGTGGAAAACAGCTTCCTCAATATATGGGAGGAGAAGGGTAAAGAAACTGGCTGCATCCAAACTTTTAAAATCTAAAAATATCAATATTTTGACTCTTCATTCTAATCAGATTTGTAATTAAGTTTCAGGAGCGCATTTCAAGATCTGAAGCGTATTAGAAAAAACTGATACCGACAACCAGGAAAGCCAAAAGTACCAACTGCATGCACTACCACTGTATGTCTCCAAGCTGAAGGCAGAACAAACCAGTTCATGATCTCAAGGTTCAGCCACAAAAATTCCATATCCCTGACAACATAGTGAATTTAAAACTATTCTGAGCAATACTTAATTTTTCGATTTCCTTCAGTAAGAAGCCGCAGGACTCTGTTGACCATGTTAATTCCCTCAAGTTCCAAGAGATCACTATACATATTTACAGAAGGATTACTATTTGTATTAGGCTACATCTTTTGTCTTGCTTTTGAAAACAAAGTAACTGGTTAAAGAGAAAATAAGTATCTAAGCAGGTCACCTATTACCTTTTCAACCTTGTATACTGTAGAACAGTACCATCTTGATTGTCTAAGTTACAAATTTTATACGACATCAACAGAGGGGAAGAAGTCAGCATCAGTAACATGGCATTACTTTAGCCTAAGCATTCATTACATCTTAAAGCAGAAGGGGGCGGGGGGGGGGGGAATGTTTCCATTAATCAGGCTGATCTACAGCTTCCTACAGAAGCTTGCTGTAAAATTCTTATGACCCCAAGCAGCTAGAGATGGATGGCTATGTTACTAATCGAGGAAGAAACTGTTCATAGCTAAGAGAAGATGTTACTGGACTGGTTTCAGGCTTAACTGTAAATGTAATCTCTTCTAGGAGAAAGACAAGTGATTATAGTCACAGCCGTCAACCATTTTATATGATTTCATCATGGAAATGGAGGAGTGAGTTGACTTAAGGCATAAGATATACCAAACACTTTCCAGGAATGTTTTTCTTCTCAGATACAACTAAGCACACAGAAAACACATAAGCCTGTACTCTGCCTAAAGAGGAATTGAATGTAAGGGCTCAGGTCTTTTTAAGTAGACTCCTGAGTGAAAAAAATGTTTTCACTCTCTTGCTGAAGACACTTGAGATTATTTTAGAAGGATGGGAGCTGCCTTCTCCAGATTTTCAGAATGGCAAGAGGGGACTTGAAGTTCATCACTGTTTTACTTCCCAAAAAACCTTCCTAAAACATCCAGAACATACAAACTACACTGAAGAAAATCCCAATGGATCTAATAACACTAAGCTTTTTATAATAGCCATAAAAAGACTAAATGCATAACTAAGACATGGTGCTCTTAAAGGTTCCTTCACAATTCTGTTCTTCGAAGCAGTAATTTAGTAACAAACAGTATCTTTTCATACAAAATATGAAAAAAATGTCAAGGCTATTACAAAATGAAAGGAGACCTTTAATTTCTCAAAGCTAAGCAATCTGTTCAGCAGTCGACTACTAAGAATTTGTTGAAAGTGATACCCCAGAAAATATGGGCAACCATTTCAAAAGTCGCACCTTTAAAAGCTCTCAAGCAGAATGTAAGTTTAATCACCATACCAAGAATTAAGTAACAAAAAAATTAAGTGGACTCTTTTGGCTCTTTCAGCCATTACTGCATTAACACTTTCCAGGAACCACAAAAAGAGCACAGAAAATATTCACCAAAATAAAAGAATAAGAAGTTCATGTTGCAGATTTCTGACACAGACACCAATTCGAAGAGTCAAAACTGAGATACTCAATCACTTCATTTCAATTCTGAAACTAAATTGTTAATTATTCCCCAGTAAAATACTCCACAGTATCCCCCAAAAGCACACTAGTATTTTTAGGCCTGAATAATTACATGCAAATACAAACCAAGTTATAAACTCCTAGGAGAAGAGCCTCTATGCATCCACTGCTCTGCAAATCTCTGCTGGCTGAGACGGCAAGATAGCACCACATCAACTCTGGTAGAAACTGCAGCGTAAATCGTAGCAATTGTTCCTCACCACTGCGATAGAACTCAAAGAGCTGATGGCAAACTGGCTCCAGAAGCTGAAATATAAATTACAATTGTGAATGAATAAAACATTACAAGAAACTGCAACTTTGTGTGGATCGATCCTTTGGACAAAACTGTAAACTGATACATGTTACATTTTAGCTATTGGGGAGTGACTGATGCAATAACTGCTCAAGTCACCTTATACACTTTTCATCCTTTATAACATACTTTCAGATGGTAAATGTAGAGCCTTCCATCCCATGTGAAGAAAGAATTCCAATGGCTCCTTTCTCTCATTTTTGGCTCGCTTCCTCCAGCCTCAAAGGCATAAATAGAGGATACTTGTTATCACCACACTTCATACCATGCCCTCAATATCTCTAATATACAGGAAAAGTACCTGAACAAAAGGTCTTACTATTCTAGAGCTCCAACAGTGTACACACAAATTGCTAGGAGCTTTTACCTAGCAAGTGAGACGAGCTGCATAACACCCAAATTCAAAGTATTACAATAAGGTAGTATACAGTAGAATTAGTTCACTTTTCCATTCATTAAAACCTTCTAGAAACTTCAGTGTATTTATAGGTTTGAGACAGAAGTGGGAAGCCTCAAGACCAATTTTACAATCAAATTTGTTAAGCTGATATAAATGGAAGTAATATATTGAACTGGAAGTAATCCATTGAGCTAGAACAAGTTAAAAAAAGACTTAAAAACAATTAAGCAATCAGCTTGCACTGTGTTTCTGGATTTAATGCACATTCCTGTGCTACCACCTATCTCCACTAGAAGATGAAACATAGTGTGTCATCACGTGTCCCTGTATGGAAGTTATGTTTTTATTTTGTCACCTAGTTAGGAGATTTCCTAACTCAAGTAGAAAATACTGTCAAAACCAGTAGGCACATTCAAAGCCAGCTGAACTGGACACTGAACTCTCAAGCAAAAACTCAAAAGCACATACTCAAAAATACTTTTTGGCAGCAAACACAGCAAACCATCAATAAGCGTTTGGAACTGTAGAAGGATTTCTTCTAAAAAAAAGTGGGGTAGGGAAGGGAAAAAGGGGATTTTTCATTAAATCTTCTAAATGATTAATTTGCAAGTAATAACAAATAGGAGGACCCTATCATCTAAGAAACTACTCCCTGAAAAAGAATCTAGGCAGTTGATGCATTTACATTAGTGAATTTCACAAAATGAAAGCTGAGATTCCAGCTATTTAGAATTCATTTTATCGACTCCAGCTAGTATATAAAAAAAAGCATTACATAAAATGTGACATTCTCCAATTGCAAATCTCTGAAAGACATGATTCAAATGTAACATACCTAAAGGACTAGTTTTGCTACCTTGTTTCTTACCTCCAAGATTTAATGTCTTAACAGTTCATCTACATGACTCACAGACAGAGACTCTAAATTCATTTCAAAGCCAGGAATGTTCAGGCTAGTAACAGACTTTCACTGAAATGTATTCCTGCACAAAATCCCCAAAAGTTTCCACCCGAAAATGACAGAATGCAAACCAGACATGCATTTTAGAGTATTTTAGAGATTGCACTGAGAAAAGATACTGTAATCATTAGAATTGCCATGGCACTTCAGTTCAGAAAGCAAAGTATTACTCAACACCTTTCTGAAAATCCTTAAAAACTGGAATAGACATATGTACTTTACTGCTAGTAACATACAGATCACATTTTCCATTTTATTCTAACTACAACACTCCGTTCTTCTGCTATTTGTCTAGGTCACACCTTCAGTTTTTCAATAGAGTAAGCTTTCAAAAAAGTAAGAAACCCATTCTTCTGTATTTTCCTCCTTTTATTGCAAAAGGAGACAACACCACCAGAAGGGCATGCTAGAAAAAAAATCTGCTTGTTTTCCTAAGTTTTTCCTCCTGAATACAAAGAAAGTTGAGTCAACATTTCTTACCTCCCAAAATTACTTCTAAACCCAAAGGATCTTAGCAGGTTTTGGTTTTTGTCCCAAATTACTTCTTAAAAAAAAAAACCAAAACCCCCCCACACAAAAAAAAAACCCACAAAAACACCAATCTGATCCATTAAAAAAGAGGAACTTTCAGCTTCTGACAGACACAGCTTCTCTTTGGAAAAATCATCTGTGAAAAATCTACAGCAAAGGCAAAAAAATCATGCCAAGCTAAACCAGTCATCAGTTTTTAAGAGCGGAATATCAAAGATCCTTCTAGAAAACTTTACCAGCACAAGCACAGCACCATCTTCAGCTTACACATTTCACACAATTTGCATGCTTCCTTTAATGAAGTTTCAGTTCAGAATGATGTGCTTGAACTTTAAAAGGCACATAAATAACGATGTGAACATGGATACCTGTCATAGCTATCTCAGTTGAGACAGCTTTGTATCAGCACATTTAAATACATAATCATTACAAAACCAGATTTTCTTCCTCAAAATGCCACCACATGCTGCAACCCAATATCAAAACACACTAATGATTGTTGCTGTTTCAAGATATTGTTTCACACTAAAAACAGTTCTAAAAGGTGTCTAGACTGAAACAATTTTTAATGCTAGAAAGAAGAATGTCCAAGCAATTTCATCCCTCTTCCTTTTAAGCTGCATCCAAATGTGTTAGGCATTCCAAACACTTCCTATTTCCTAATGCAAATACCTGCATGGCTACTATCTAAAAGGACAGCAATAGTGTTTTAGGTAGAAAGCAAAAAATCTTGAATTTGTGAAGAAACAAACCTCAGAAATTTTTTATTTTTTTTACTGTTGGACTCTTGAGTCAATTAAAAGTCCTTTAAATCTTCACATCTACTGAAGGCTCTCCTTGTATTGAATTACATTTTTTTCACCTATCAGTGGCCCAGGAACCTCAAAAGTAACTAACAAAGTCCTTACTAACAAAGCTACTATGGACTGGATATTTCTTTGCTATAGCAAACGAGCAGTTCATTTATCTCACAAATTGATTATTATTCTTTTTGGAAAAGCAAACTCAAAAAAAAACATTTGAAAAGCAAACATGAACTAGCAGGAAAATGCAGTCACAGATGAAAATACACGATTACTTTTCAAATGCTTAAAAAAAAAAAAAAAAAAAACGCATGCATTCCCCAAAATGGAATTAAATCACATTTTTAAGGAACATATAATATCACATTAGAAGTACACATATTCAAAGGTATACAGATGGGGTTTTTAGATATTTCTTTGCTATAGCAAACGAGCAGTTCATTTATCTCACAAATTGATTATTATTCTTTTTGGAAAAGCAAACTCAAAAAAAAACATTTGAAAAGCAAACATGAACTAGCAGGAAAATGCAGTCACAGATGAAAATACACGATTACTTTTCAAATGCTTAAAAAAAAAAAAAAAAAGAACGCATGCATTCCCCAAAATGAGATTAATCACAATTTTAAGGTACATATAATTATCACATTAGAAGTACACATATTCAAAGGTATACAGATGGGGTTTTTAATCTCAGCAGTATTTGTAGTGTTCACGCATTAATCCTCCCCCTTTGCATTATACACGTGAGAAAGGACAGCACATATCCTACACTGTAAAGTAAGTTGTCATTACACAATGCAGCTAATAGATCTCAAATAACAGTTGAAAGAAATTACTTGTCATTTTAACTGCTAGTTTATAAGTATTTTCACAATGTGGAAAGCTCCAAGTAGCCCTTTCCACAAAGTGACAGGTACTCGAAGAAGGGCCCAAATAAAGATTTTAGAAATGTGCTCCCAAGGCAGCACAACACTGAGTGCCAGCACTAGCTTTTCGTTTCAATTCAAAGTCTCACTAACAGGGAAATCTTCGATACCTTGCTCCCAGAATTATCCTAACAACCTTTTCGAGCAGAATTTGCAGGGCCTTGACCACCCTGCTACTAAGGGCCCTGAGAAACCTAGTGATAGCCAGAAGTAGTAAGAAATCAAAGAGCATATGAAAGTATCAATTTGGCTATCAACAGGAAGACTCATCAGATTAATTTAGATGTTGATACGCATACTGAAGACCAGACAGGCTTGACTCAGTACTTGGAATGACTCAGAATGCCATTCTGAGCAGCAAAGTAAAATTACATTTCTTCTTTGCTGGATAACCTGGGAGTTCCTTTGTCAGTATTCTCTCTAAAAATGTATATACTGAAAGCATTTTATCCTCTGACCACTACTGGCATCATCTCAAACTTTGGAAGCGTTCCTTATGTCAGGTCTTTTCAGAAGAGGAATTAAGGACTTGGTGCAATTTTAAAATAATACACAGCAGGTTTGCTAGATGGTAGAAAGTGAGACAATACAGTTAACAAGACACAACTAAAACCAGCTCAGCATGTTCTGAACTCACCTGGATACCTTACAAAAAGTGCAGTCATGGAGTACGGAACCATTCCTGGCACAGGTACAGAGCAAACCTGCCCCCTTCCCCCCCAGTTTTTTTTCTGTCATTTCAGTAAGGGTGCACCCACTGTATAAACATGCATATTTATATTGTATGTATTTAAAACAACAATAAAAAACCCAAAACCTAAGCAATAACTTAAAAGGTTTGCAACTTATCTAGCATTGTTCTCTTGGGTTGTAACAGACAAGCTTCTGATAGCTACAGATTCACATTCAAGTGATACTGAATTACATAAAGAATTCTGTCAGTCTCAAACATATTTCTCAATTCTATACCCAAGTTCTGAAGCCCCTGAGTACGATCTACAAGCTTAGCTATGATCAGTAGGTTACAAAACTTATGAATTGTTTCCACGGTAGTATGTCATTGCTAAGAACAAACATTTTGACGGAGACTCTTCATGTAGTTCTGTAGCTCACGTAGTTAGAACACAATTAACAAGCACTCAAGGTCTTATTTTATTCTGCTGGTGTTATGTCAGACATTTTGTGTGAGAGACCCGATATACTCACTTCACTCTGTGGCTCCTGAATTACTTTGTAAAGAGATGAAATCAAAGCACTCTTGTCTTTCAAGTTCGTAGCATAACTGGATATGGATGCTTCTGGCAGTGTCTGAAATAAAAATATAACTACTAGAAAAAGCAATTTTTATCTTTAAAATACAATACCTATTTCAACAACAACTTTCCATTACAAGTTCCTATTTATCAGAGCTTACTATAAACTAAAACTTGTTTCACAAAGAAATCCTTACTATGGAAATCACGATGTTTTCAGGACAACAAAATTGTGAGAAGACACTGCATTTTATCCTTTTGTAGACAGTTTCATACAGAATGTAATGACAGTGGATGGGAAATAGACAAAAACAAGAGTTTCACAGGTGCAACCCCACTGTGAAATTTCAGTACTGTGAAACTCCACAGTATGCAGATCCATACCTTAAGGAGTTTTCTCAAGACTGACTGTACACAGCTAGTGAATGTTATTACAGGATATAGTATTACTCTGAAAGAACACAAAGCCCAGTTGACATGAACAGCTCTTCACTAACACTAAACAGATTTTCTGCCAGTACTTAAGAGGGTAAAAATCCAATCTTTTTAACAACCCTTTGGAAGCTGTACATTTAAACTTATTATTCATGGCTCTTACAGTACTTCTTATCTTCAGTCCTTCAAAGGAGATCATACTCCACTATACAGATAGCAAAACACATTCCCAGTGTATCTAAGCAGACCAGGAGCAAAACCTATACTCAAGTCTAGTCCATACTCAAACCAAGACCGTTCATCTGCGATATACATTTCCACTGCTCTGTATCAGGAAGTATGTAATCCCAAAGAGGAGAAGGGGAAAAAAAAATCCTTTCAAGCAGACATTTGTATATATCACATTATCTCAGCAAAATCCAAGGTTACTATTTTTCTTCATTTTCTACAGCAATCAAGCACTCTTGCATACAGCTCCAGCAGCGATTCAAACACTACTGGCTAAATATCTGAGAGTATATTACCTTGAACTCTGATAACCATTCCTCCACAACCCCAGTATCCACAGCTAACATCTTCCAACATGCGTTCCAAAACCTTCAGCCTGAAAGAATAAGCAAACACAGTTTGTGAAAACTATGTAGTCACTGCATTAAGTAGATGATGAAAATTAAGTCCCTGTGAATATTTAAAGAACCTTATCACGCTTTTACTTGTTAACATTTCACATGCTGACATCACTTTGAACTTTTATTCTACCTCACTTATGCAAGCTGCTGGAAGCATCAAGCATGGGATTCTTCATGTACAGCAGTTTAATAAATTCCAAGTATGTATTGCGTGGGAAGCTCAATAAGTCAAAGATTTGCAGAAATGGCATTTTGAAAACAGAAAATATTACCTTTTCAATTTCAATTTATTTTTCAGCTTACAGAACTCAGAGAGAAAACTGCAGGGACTCACTGAAGAAAACGAGTGTTGAGGTTTTTCCTAGTCAACTGCTATTCCTAACTTGGTAAAGGTCACTGAAATAAAGGCTGATGGAAAACCTTTCAATCCTCCCCCACCGTGGCAACTGCAAGGCAATGAGTCTGCTGCCTCAGCACATAGCCGAAGATGGACTCCCCTGCCCAACATCCTGCACAATCTCAGACAGAGCAAGATCATCAGTACTAAGACTTGAGCACAAGAGATGCAGAGTGGCTTTTGAAATTCATTTCTGATTTCTCTTAATATTTGAGAAAACACTTTAAAACAACTGTCCTTTGGAAAGGCTTATTCTGAAACAAAGAGCAACATATCATTAAGATACAAAACTATTAAAAGTTAAAAAGAGCATGCTGTGGAGGGTACTCAAGGCATTGGTAAACTACACACATTAGCTTATCCAAATTGTGACCATGGATTTCAAACAATGACAAAATTAAATACTCATCTGAGGAAAAAGTTAGCACGTACTTGGTGAAATGTTCAGTCATGCGAGATATCCCATCAAGTTTTGCTTTGCCAGTTTAAAATTAGTTCTGAAGTACTGATACCCAAGGATGGGCTTGTTGATGAATGACAAGCAAGGAGAATAAATGACCCCATCAGATAAAACCATGGGGAACCAGCTAGGGCAATGTCCTCTTACAACCCCAGAAAGATATGCAATTCTGCACAAAGCGTACAAGAACAGTGCTGTCTGAGGATGAGAGGGGAATAAGGAAGGACTAAGGAATTATAAGCTGCACAGTGGTAGATTTAGTTTCTGGAGAAAACAGTAGTAGTAGCTGTAAACACCTAGGAGGTAAAACGCAGCAGCAGTTCCACTGAAAGGCTTCTCCTGACAGGTTGGGGCAGCTCCATAAGAAGGATACCAGCAACATCAGGGGAGGAAGATTACAACCCACAGCCAGGTGGCGAAGTGGCAGACCAGGTAGGCAAGCAAAGGGTACAGAGTGATGTAGGCAAGAGAGACCTTGTAAACAAAGCAGCAGAGCTAACCAGGGCCCCACCTCAAATGTAAGCACATATATGAAGTGCTGCCTGCAGGTCAGCATGATGGGGGAAGCTCTGATTCCTTTTCTAGCAAATCAGCATGACCGGGTGCCTCTGTGAAGTGCCCATACACCAACACACATGCAGCATGGCAACCAAGCAGGAGGAATTAGTGGTCTGGGTGCAGTTGCAGGGCTATGATCTCAACAGGATCACTGAGACACAGCAGCATAGCTCACAGGACCAGACTACTGCCACAGCTGGATATGGGCTCTTTAAGGAGAGTCTGGGATAGTGAGGAAGGAAAGCTGCCCTTTATCTGGGAGAACGGCAGGGATGCATGGAGCTCTATCCTGCAACAGACAATGAAACAGCTGAGAGCTTATGGGTCACAGATGAGAGGGCACACCAACACGAGTGACATTGTGGCAGCTGTCTGCTACTCATTACCTGATTAAGACAAAATATATGAAAACTTGTTCATACAACTGAAGAAGCCTCACATTTACAGGCACCTGGTCCTCACATAGAATATGAACTACCCTGTTATCTCCTGGAAGGGCAACACAATAGGGAACAAACAATCCAGAAGGTTTTTGGAGTGCACTGATAACAACTTCCTGACAGAGGTTACTAAGGAGCCAACAAGAGCAGGCACTTTGCTGAACATCGCAAGTACAAAATGGAAAAACCGGGCAGTGGTGTGAAGGTCGGGGCAGCCATAGCTGCAGTGACCATGACATACTAGAGCACAGGATCCCAAGAGGAAGAAGGATCAAAGCAAGAAGGAGAATCAAGAATGCTCCAGAATGGTTCACAGGCTTTCTCAGAATATCATCAGCAACAGGAAGACTAGGGCTCCATGACTGAATGGGGCAGAGGACCTGCCGACAGGAGATATGGAAAAGGCCAAGGTACTCACTGCCGCCTTTGCTTCTGCTGTTACAGGCAAGAGCAGCCCCCAGGAATCCCAGGTCTCTGCGCGCAGAAAATTCCCTCAATCGCCAGGCTCACAGGGCTGTGACCAGTGGCACAAAGCCCAGCTGGAGACCTGCCCGTACTGGTATACAGCGGGCGCCAATACCCAGGCCAGGACGGTTTAACATCCTCATTAACAAAGGTGGGTGACGGGACAGAGCTCCCCCTCAGCATCTTTGCAGGTAACACAAAACCAGGAGAAGTCGATACCCCAGAGGGCTGCGCTGCCATTCACAGGGACATCAACAGGCAGGAGACGTCAGCCAACACCTGAATCTCAGGAAGTTTAAAGGGCAACGCCAAGTGCTGCCGCGGGGGACAAACCACCCCAGGCACCAGCACCCGGGGGGCAGACAGCTGGAAAGCAGCTTTGCAGAAAAAGCCCTGGGGGTCTTCATGAACAAGGGCAACAGGAGCCAACCACATGCGCCCTTGCAGCAGAGACGGCCAACAGCCCCCGGATCGCCAGCAGGTCAAGGGAGGTGATCCTTCCCTGCGCTCGGCCCTGGTGAGACACATTTGGAATGCTGGGCTCCTCATCACAACAGACACATGGACATACTGGAGATAGTTTGGGAAGGGCCACAAAGCTGATGGATGAACTGGAGCATCTCTCACATGAGGGGCAGACAGCTGGAAAGCAGCTTTGCAGAAAAAGCCCTGGGGGTCTTCATGAACAAGGGCAACAGGAGCCAGCCACACGCGCCCTTGCAGCAGAGACGGCCAACAGCCCCCGGATCGCCAGCAGGTCACAGAAACACAGTGAAGATTGCTGGATAGAAGATCTAATAATGACGACACATTGCAGATAATGGCTGCGTATCAAACCACTGTTATATTAAGACCATCAAAACTACCAAGTTGCCCAAGTGGTACTACATCACTGACGGGACAGTCATCTACTGCTGCCATCAACCAGTTCACAACTCATCTGCTTGAACTTACCTTTTAGCTGTGTCATGGTTTCAGCTGGGATAAAGTTAACTTGCTCCTCATCACAACAGACACATGGACATACTGGAGATAGTTTGGGAAGGGCCACAAAGCTGATGGATGAACTGGAGCATCTCTCACATGAGGAGAGGCTGAGAGAGCTGGGACTGTTAAGCCTAGAGAAGAGAAGGCTCATGACGATTTTATGAACGTAGATAATTACCTGAGGGGAGAAAGTAAAGAAGACGGAGCCAGGTTCTTCTCATTGGTGTCCTGCAACCGGACAAGAGGCAATGGGCACAAATTGAAATATACTAAAAAAGGGTTTAAATGTAATTTCACATAAGGGTTATTGAACACTGCAACAGGTTGCCCAGGGTGGCTGAGGAATCTCCATCCTTGGAGATATTAAAAACCCAGTTGGACAAGATCCTGAACAACCTGTTCCAATTTTCACTACTTCGAGCAAAGGAGGTTGGACTTGATATCCAGAGGTCCATTCAAACCTCATCCATTCTGTCATCCTGTATCAACAAAGCAATAGGAAGGATTGTCATGAAGGAAATTCATCTAGCTAAATACCAACTCTTTCTGACCAGCACTGAATGGTCTCTAAAGGTATAATGATGACAATATGGATTAGTGGCCTCTGAATGGTATAGGTTGTGTGTCAAACCCTGCTGCAGAGTGAGGCTTTTAAGGATAATACTGTGTGCTAACAAACACAAAGGCTAGCCCTACTACAATTATTGAAGGAACGACCTCATCAGTTCCTACAGAATCACACAATCTACTAGCCCTACTTTCATTCCTGTGAGGGCAGACAAAGGCTTTTGCAATGTCTCATGCTTCAGCAGGGTTGACAATAGTAATCATTCCCTACTGAGCCCCACTAATAGCGCAAATGCCTGTGCTAATATTGACTGTTCAAAGCAAGAAACCCATGATTTAAAAGTGTCCAGAGGAGTCCTGGATACTCCAAGTCCATAGTTGACACCACATTTATCCAAGAGATGCTTTTTTCTCACCTATTTCTACTGATCCATCATGCATTATTTTCAGATTAAAGGCTCCCAGAGAACACAGGATTCATTTGACCAGTAAAAGCAGTTAACAGCATCCTTGGCTGGCATTATCCATTGGACTAAGGACAGTACTTCAAGCTTTTATGACTGTGTATTTGAAGGCAAGTCTTTTTTTGCCAAAGCATGAACTTTTGAAATGAAATCTATAAAAAGCTGAACTAAAAGAAACAGGACAAAGTTTTTGCTGATCAGGTCTTTGATTTTTAAAGTAGCAGAGGCATTCCGTTGAGAGTTAAGGCAGTTGAGATGCACAGAAGATAGACTGTCCTTGTTTTACCTTCATCCATTAGATACCCTTCTGAATGCACTGTTTAACCTCAAGCATATATGTATCTGCAGCAATACACATTTGAGTGTCACAAATAAGAAATCTAATTTTGTAATTATTCTCCTTTAAGGAATTAAGATTATCTGTTAGACTGATCTCTTCCTAGAAGGAAAAAAAGCTTCAATTCCACACACCAGGTGTGTGCGATCTATTAAAACAGGCAGACAACCTACTGTTTTGCTAAGGATTGCCACATTTTGTGCTCGTTAAATAACAGGTCACATTGGATTGCAACAATGAATGGACAGAGTCGACAAACCCCACACTGTTCTAAAGGAAGGATTAACAAATTTC